AAAAAAAAAAAAAAGATTGAGACCTGCAATGATGAACGAGTTTTCATGATTTCTTCTTTTTTTTTTTTTTAATTACTGAAAAAGGGAAGTAGCTTTCACACCCCATATTCTAAAATGCCTGGGAAAAGTACATTTGTAGTCAGAAATTACATATTTAAAGGAGATTATTATAATAAAACCTACTACCTTTAGAAAAGCTTCAAAATCACATTTACACCAAAAATATATTTTTACCCTTATATTTCTCTTTATAACTGAAATAAAAATATGCCAAATATGTTCTAACATAAAATTTTACCCCCCTAATAATATTTAGGAAGTTTCTGACCAGATTCAAAATGCATTGAGTTGCAGAACTGAAATGATAAAAATTCAACTATCTTACTAATGGCTTAGTTCGGTTTTGGTTTTGTTTTTTCTTCTCACTGAAGGCTTAGAATAACAAAAGACAATATCAAAGGGGTTGTCAAGCAGTGACCAACTTTTCCATGCTGGCCCAAACAAAGATGAATTATACTAAAGAAAGTCTAAGAATAGGTTATATATAGTGGTAATAAATGTTGATTTTGGAATGGATGAACATTACTCTCTGTGTTGCATAGCTTTATGGTTTTTAAGCTGTTAATGATATTAGTAAGTCATCTGCTAAATGGGGGATTGTTGTGTACAATAGCAAGAGATAAAGTAATGATTTGTACAAATGAGGGGAAAATGAATTATTATTTGTTATTTCCCACATAAGTAGAAACTATGAGAAAACAAACAAAATTATCATAGAGCAAATTTAGAAATACCAAAGGAAATAACATATTTTACAGAGTTTAACTCTCTACCACCATATGCTGTAGAGGCTGAAACTATACATGCTTTCAGAAGTATTAGACAAATTCACATTTGATCACTGACTACTGAAGTAGATGAAATTATGTTCCATAAAGCTGGAAGCTAGGAGGACATGCCAGCAAAATTATAACTATTCATATCATGCTACCAAATATCTACTATCAGATATTATTATTGGCAAGTCTCTGAGTTAATGCATTTATGATCTGGCCCAATACAGAGGCTCGTCTACCCACAGTTACAGAATGTGTTTAGAAAGGGGAAAAAGAAAGAACAGTTATTAATGACTTTTAAAAAGTAGAAAACATAAATTTGTTGTTTTGAACAAATTGTAGTTATCACTTATTTTAATGATTTAGAGGAAATGGCACTAAACAGCGACTTCAGAAATTCTATCCACAAAATCATGTTCTTTCAGAAGCATATGGGTGTTTCTGTAAGCACAGGTAAGAACTATTTTAATTAACAGGAGTTAAAAGGAAAAAATGAAGATACACAAAGCAATGTATAACTAGTTAGCAAACTAATATTATTCCCTTTTTTTGTACTGATGGATATAGCAGATGTTAACAACTCTCCATTCAGATAAATATACCTATCTTTCTTCAGGTCTCTGATGTATAAAACCTCCCCTTCACTAAACTTCAATTCTGGTATTTTGCAATGGTATTTCATTTTATTGCTGGAACTGAAGGGTCTGGTATTGGTACACAATACTCCTATCTATAGTAATATTTTCCATAGATATGCATATTTTACCCTTTTTGAACTATTTAATATGTATGATTCATAGTAAAAAATAAATAATTTCACTAGATCCTAAAAAATAAAACCTGACTGAATTACAGTTAATATAATGTGGAAATGGTTCCCCTTTTTAAATCACATTTTAAAATATTTGCAGTGTAATACTCCTAACTTCTAAGTTTTTGCAAACAAGACCATGTTCAGCTGTATTTTCCTGAAATGTTCAGTTGTCTCCAGGGAACTAGCGGACAGTTCCTGTCTCAAACAGCAGTAACTACATATGATTTTCTTTTCTTTTCTTTTTTTTTTTATCTCCTTGGGCTAAGAAGGTAGTGACAGGAAAAAGAAAAGGGAAGAAGAGTGAATAATTGCCCATTTGTCAAAATGGTTTGCTGTTCCTGGGGGAAAAGAATAAAGTGCTCAGACATGAGTTGCTGAAAAGCTTTTCACATATTGTGCAGTCAGTAATTGGAATTTGGCAGCCAAATTCTCCAGATATTCTGTCTAGACTATGTATGCTCCAGATTACAGATTGAAAGTCTGAACAGGAATTTCTGATGGCTGCTGCACTATTTCCTTTGCTTTTCAGTGTTCCTTTTGCACACATCCATGCAGCACAAAGAAGAAAGTGAACTGACTTAAAAGAAAAAGGTGTATGAAGTAGGCCAGTGGTAAATAAGGAATCAGAAGGCAAGAAAATATGTAAGAAACTATGAAGCTAGATAAATCATAAGAGATGGTGGAAAGGAAAGGGAAGAGAAAAAAATAAAGTTTGAGGGGACAGGTTTTGATCTGGCAAAAGACATGGGAAAACACAATGATTAACCAAGGAGCAAAGACTGTGTTTTATTTCAGTAAACTGAACAGGCTTGGGACCACGTTCTAAGAATTACCTGATCACCTGTGAGTTATCACTGAATTGTCCATAGCACGGTTGAATGCTCTTGCCCTCTGCACAAGGATGGCCTCATTCATGATGAGCCTGTGTATCCAGCCTATACCCAAGGTTTCTTAGAGAGATTGCTAACTGGATTTGGCTAAAACTGCCAAGATCAATATAGATAATTCCAGTGCCTGCAAATTTTCCCTTAGTACTGTTTAATTTACTATCATAACGTCAGCTAGGAAATTTAGGAGTTTGATAAGACATCTGATGCAGATAAAAGGAATAGAGATAGAAATAATCTAACATGAATTTAAAGAGGTAAGGACACAAGCTGAGAATAAATCAGAGTAAGATAGGACAAAGAACCTGATGGAACAGAAATGCAAGACAGAGTAATTAAAATCAGAATGGTCCATGGCATCCAATATGTGTTCTCTTGTAATGTGTAACATGGACTCATTACCTAAATCTCATCACTCTTTTCTTGACAGCAAGTATTTGTGAAATTTCCTTTTCAAGTATAAACTTAAGAAGGTATTTTTTACATCTTATTTGTTATCAAAATGGGTTAGAACTAAAAGGACAATGGTGGATTATCACTGCAAGTGAGAGAAATTAGAGACCTTTGTTACCACCTTAAGTTTCTAATTCTTCAAGGTGACATTATGATGGCACATAATGTTGCCATTTTTAAGGTCATTTGGGCTTTATGTGACAGTTTAAATGAAAGAACATTACAGATGCAAATTTGTATGAGGCAAATTAGAAAACACTGGAATTATATTACTTGTGCAGTTCTGTTTTCATCCATTTGTGAAGGCTGGTCCTTAATTACCTAACCACAAGAAGACACCTCCAAGTTTTCCACCTCATATGACAAACAGAGTATATCACATGACATAGACAAATCAAGGAGAGTAAAGTAGCTGAAAATCTTAATCTTTTGCAGAAAGTGGAAGGAGTTTTCTCTTTCTAGATTTTCATTACCTCACCCAGTCTCCAAAGTTCTTAGAGATAACTAATAAAGTTCTGAGATAGCTTCATTCATATTGAAAATGGTTAAGTACTTTTTTGCTTCCTTCTGTACCTTTTTTCTTAATCTACACTTAAATGATATCTTTTGTCGTCAATACTAACTGTGCTGTGTATTTTCATGTAATATTTTAGTGAAAACTGAGGCAAAAGAACCATGCAGTACCTCAGTATTTCCACAATTTTGTTCCCCAGGGAACAACACTGTCCCTCATCTTCCTCTTACCTCTTCTTCCTCTTATCTTCCTCTTACAGAATGATTTAATGTTACAAGTAAGGTCTTTTGCTATTCTGCACCAAGGTAGTCTTGATTTTGCCCCGGTATTCCTGTTCCATTCATTCTGGATGATGTACATTCCTGGACGGCAAAACCACAGCTGAAGGGAGTACGCACTACCCTTTGAACATGTAGAGTACTATATAAGTGAAGATGGTCTGACATTCCTAGAACCTAAATTTCACAAGCGTTATTCTCAAAAAGAGTTTTTAATTTAAATTATGTTTACTTGCAGTTTTTATTTCCTCTTAAGATGGTAAACTTATTATATCATAAAATAAACAGCACATATCCTGAATAAATGTATCCAAGCAAAGAGCATCTTATGATTAAATTAATATATATGTATTTAAAGAGGATTAAAACTGCAGGATATGGGCTATCTATTTGACATTGAAGCTAAATTAAAATATTCAAAGAAAAATAATGACAAAATATTGTTAATTTAAACAATATAAGGATGTCTTTTAGGAAACAGAAATAGAAAACAGCATATATTTTATACTTACATGATTCATAGGCAAGGGGAGACAAATTCAGACTACAAATCTTGTTATTGGAATTACCTCTCTTTTAATTACTTTATTTTGTAACTTTAGTATTCTTTCATAGTAATGCACTTCAGAGACATTGTGCATAGCAGCTTGTTTAAGAAGGATAAAACCCAAATCTATTATGCATTAAAATGTAATAACTATTCAAAAGGAAGTTCTGAGTTACTAACTCTGAGTTATGAGTCATCCATAAACTTACATTACACAACGGAGTGCCTGCCTATAACAGGAAATGAAAGTGACAATGCCCGACTCAAATATTTTATTATTTAAAATTTGTAAAGATTTATGTAATTATTTAAACTGAAATTTGACTAAGGCAGCAATGTAGGGCTATTCTTCAAAAAATACAGCTGTTCATTCAATGATCTCATGTAATCTGAATCACGTGCACAAGGCATGCTTTTTAAGTATTAGAAAACCAAGAAAACTATATAATTTTCTAGACTGCCCTCTTGTACTTACCAAGCCTGAAATATTTAACATCTTGGAGATAATAGATAACTATCTGAATTCAGCCCTAGAAATGGTAAATAAGTGCTTTGATTAGTTAATATTAAAAATAAAAATATTTAGAAAATAAATATAATTCATTGCCTTGTAGCAAATAAAACTATCAACATCTTTCTCTATAGGAAGTATAATGTATGTGGTACAATACCTGTGTATGCAAACTGAACAAGATCCCAGAGTGCATTGGGGTCTATGCCTTCCATTTTGATCTCTTCTTGCTTGGCTTCACAAACATCACTTGTAAACATGGCAGCAAAGTAGTCAGAAACAGAACTGAGGACAAGTCTGCAAAAAAGTTAGAAACTGGTGTCATCTACTTTGATATACATATTAGAAAATTTATACATAAAAACCACCCAAACCAAACATTTTAAAAAATATTTTCATAGTAATTATGCATTACCTACAAATTACCAGAAACAATATATTATTAATGCATGTAGGCAGCAAAATACAGCATGACATTTAATTCTAATTTTTTTTTTTGCTCCCTGTGATATGAACTAAGTGGCACATTAGTATATGGACAGACATAGAAATTAGCACTCAGTCTTTCTGATAATTTTCCAGTCATAAGAAGTCACCAGTATCAAAGACAACTTATTAGTGAAACATATTTCATATTCCAGAGGTACTCTTCATTGTTCTTAAAGGACTATTTTTTATAAAAATTACTGACAGCATGTAACTACACAATCCTTCAACCTTCATTAAATCTGTTTGTAGCTTAACCTGCTATTCACTAAAAAAAAAAATAATAATAAAAAAAATCATTGTGTAATGCAATGTTTTTGTGAAGAAACATTTGCATAGGAAAAAAAAGTCGAAATTCTTATAAAATGTGCATGGTTTGTTTGGGGCGTCTGATTTAGATAAATCGAAACCACAGCAAGTACCAGGTATGATTGTCATTACCAGGGCCTTAAGCTAAGACATTCTTCTAAATACCATCTACAGTAATATTATTATTTTGTGAGGCATGAATACTCACATATGATCTTCAGCTAGAAATGTGTTACAGCTATAAATAGTGCACCACATGGTTCCGTAAAAGATGGTCACATTTCTGGCTTAATTTGAAAACATAATATAGAAGCACATTGATAAAAGATACAAGAATCACAACTGAAGAACTTGGAAACCATGTAGACATTTGTATATAGTTAACTATTATGTCCAAGAGGAAAAAAAAAAAAAATTCTGAAGAATAACAAGCTATCTCTTATCAGCCAGTGTGGTAATTGATTGCATTTGCTCTCTTATTTCATCCCAGTTGAAAAGTAAGATATGACAGCTTGAATTGGCTTCATAATTTTACAGCGCTTTAAGCTAACATATTTTACCTGCAAGTAGGGCAGCTTGAGAACATATATATGATCTTTACTCTGACTCAGATGACGGGCAATGACTAATTAGGTGTAGTAGTTTTATCCTTTCTCATGTTGTGTTCAGCTCTTGTAATCATGAACTTTAGAAGTAAAGATCCTAACTCATAACAGTTCCTACTTATATTCATGTAATTAATAAAAAAAGATGAGTGCAAAAAGATTAATTTTGAAATATACTTTTTTGCTATTCCAGGGACTCCTAATTCACTATTTATTTATTTATTTATTTATTTTCACCACCGAAGAACATTTACTTCTGTGTTTGCTTATTTATGTTGTGGTTTAACCCAGAAGGCAGATGAACACCACACAGCCAGTTGCTCACTCTCCCTTCCCCCACTGAAATGGGGGAGTGAATTGGAAAAAAACCCATGTCTTGAGATAAAGACAGTTTAATAAAAGAAAATAATAACAATAATAATGGTAATAGAACATACAGAATATACAAAACAAGTGATACACAACTCAATTGCTTATCACCCTCTGACTGATGCCCAGCCCGTCCTGACAACGATCACTCTCCCCCCAGCCAACTCCCCCGAGCATGACATCATATGGTCTGGAATAGCCTTTTGGCCAGTTTGGGTCAGCTGTCCTGGCTGTCATCCCTCCCAGCTTCTTGTGTACCTGGAAGATCAGGGGAAGCTGAAAAGTCCTTGACCATTCTAGGCACTACTTAGCAACAACTAAACCATCAGTGTGTTATCGACATTATTTTCATACTAAATCCAAAACACAGCACTATGCCAGCTACTAGGAAGAAAATTAACTCTATCCCAGCTGAAACCAGTACGATTTACTATCTTAACTGAGTATCACAAGTGTGTATTTAGTCAATCAAGAAAACCATACAATTCTGGATAACTAAAAATCTTATAACCCTTCTTCAAATACTTTTTCTGTCCACTTAGAAATAAACTAATTGATTCACTGTTACTAGATGCTTGATTAAAAAAAAATCATAGCAAAAACGAAAAAAACATGACAAATTGATGATTTTCTATGAGTTGCAATCTCTCACAGCAAGTAGAGATGTAATTTAGGTCTGTGACTGAGATTTCCATTTGAGAGCATTTCACATCATCTGTTGCTTCAAATTTATTAACCACCATTTAAATTCAACTATGAGTCTTCAACTTGGTCACTTGCTAAAAGCAAAGTCAAACCCCTTTCCTGCATGAAAACCAATGGAAAAATTAATGAACAGAAACCAGTTAATGATAAATTGAAATATTTTTAAACAGTAGTATCTTAAATTTATAATTTATATAATTTATGTTCAGACATTATTATATAATCTTCTTGTATATATATTTTTAACTCAAAGATAATAAAATTGGGGGGGGGGCAGTAAATAATTAACAGAAGGATTAGATCTCTTTCACAAACTTCTACAAAAATCTGTGTTTTTCCACAATTTGTCTCATGGTTTATTATGAGGTGAGGAAATTCAAAGCAGCTATCTAATGGAGTCCAGCTGCAAATGAGCATTCAGTCTACAGGACCAGACATCATCCAGTGCAAAGTGAAAAACCATGAAAAATATATAATACAGATGTCAAGTCCTTAGCACTACCCATTTTACTTACAGGATTATGCCTTCTGGTGTGTGCCACCTGTTAAAGAAGATGGCTTAAGTGAGCAGAAAGGTTCTGTGAAGTAGCAGCTCACCTAAGCAAGCAAGACAAGGTTTTGAACAGTGACAAAAATTTTTTTTACATCCCTTATGTTAATCAATAGTCAATAGAAATAATGAATCAGCTATTTCATCAATTGAATATAACCAAAAAGTTATATTGTTGTGCCTGATTTCAAGACACAAACTTTTACCTTGGGAAGGGCTTCACAGGCTAAATTGAAGTGAAAGGAACTTGTTAATTATACTTAGTTCTGAAAGGTGACACCTTTTGTAAATTTTAATTGTGTTCCAGTGTTGAGACAGAAATGAAAAGTGAGGAATCAAAGGGATCAATTAATTTGTAATGATCTGCTGCTTTTTGTAGCTCAGAAAGCTCCAAACAGCTCTAAATCTTGGTTTAAAGGCATGTTGAACTCTTCATTAAGAAAGGTCGGGTGTCTCAGGATGTCACCTTTTTTCAACTACTGATCTGGCAGTGAAAATACACAATAAACACTTTCATCCTTGAGAATCATAGCAGGTAAGTCATAGCTAAAAATGAGTTTGTGGACCCAGAAAGAGTTTCTCCAGATGAAGGGACTTCTCTACCTTTACTACAACTAAATTCAGCCTGATGTATTTCTGGTTTCTTTTATAATATAGAATATAACTGATTCCTGTTGTGCCTTTTTTATCCCATGATACAGATTTTATTTCCTTTTAATATAGAATATTTCCTTGCAATTTTCACAACTGTTTTCACATACACTTTTGATACAGAATTCCCTTAACATTGTTGGTGCATTTAGTAATTAAAAGAAGCAAGCAATAAAAAAAGAAACAAACCTTGATCACTTTTATACTCTTTAAGCAAGCTCTATCGATATTTTACTGCCAACTGAGTAGAATCTCAGATGTTACTTGGACTGAAAACTCATAGGCATGATACAGCTGTTTTCCCCACATATGATGCTGGTTCATATAGGAGCTGAATGTTCATTGCTTTTAAATGTGATTAGCTGTTCTGCAGAGGACACCAGCTGACACTGGGTGTCTTCACTGGTAGTGGTGCTCTACAGTTCTTCTTACAACAGACATTTACTATGCATGGCTTTGTGATTTCCTAAATTTTAGGGCTTGCACAACATATACTAAGGTATATCCATGCACTCACTTGAAAAAAAATCAGGAAAAGAAGGAAGCAGACACTGGGTGTCACTTACAGAACCATTTTGGCAGTACAATCAAGACTGCCATATTTTCTGAGTAAAACAACAAAGGAGCAAGCTGTGGAACAGATAAACTGTTTTGGATTTCACAAGGTAGTGATTACCTTTCCCGATGACTGTGGTATTCTCCCTCACCAGCTTACCAAATACAGAAAAAGCTATAAGAGCTTTGGAAAAAATATAGCTAACAGTAAATTTAATCTAGTACACAGACTATTTCCTGCTCAGTACTGAAGATCCTTAGAAAAAACTATGTCCAGACACCAATAATTATTTTTTTGAGACCAAATATTGACAATCAACTTTAAATTGGCATCTCCTATCTCAGAATTCTGATCTGTGGCTAATTGGGATCACCCACTTTCATGTTGTCTGTAATTCAGAATCAGATATGCCATGTCTTTTCCTTTTTTTATCACTCAGCCTTTCCCACGCACACTTTTTCAATTGGCTTAAATACACATGAAGTAGAATATAGTATAATTTTCAACTCAGCTTCAGGAATACAGCACAAACCCAATCTTCTTGCTCTGTACTCCCTAATGGACTGTGCAAAACTAAGTAAAGAGTGTTTGCTGTAAAAGCTACTGGCACCTTGAGGAATTTTGCTTGTCAAAACTTCCATTTTGTGTTTTATTCATGGTAATTTATTTGTTTTGCAACATTTTCTTTTTTTTTTTTCTTAATCTATTGATTATGTTCTTAGACTCTATTTCACTTTACTTAAGATCAACATTAAACTCGTAATATCCACTCCCTATTGAAAAATTTGCCACTACATGTTCCTTCTACCTTCACCTGTCATCTAGTCAGCATTTCAAATCTAGAGTTCTTTACCATCTACCTTTCTTCCTTTTCAGTCAGGACACTGAAATGTTAATTTCAGCTTGTCAGTGCTATAACTGCTTCATTCTTCTGAATTTGTAAGTATATAAAAAAAGCCATGAGATGATACATCATAAATTATTCTTGTCCGTAAAATTCTAACAAGATTCTCTAATCACATTGTATATCTTGTCTCTAGGAAGAGAACAAAAAAAATTCCATTGA